CCGACAAATGTGCAAGTTAATTCCTCTATTTATTCGCCTTACTTTTTTTAAAAAAAAGACTTCAATCTTAAGAAAGTGCCCGTTTTCACTCACTACTGCCGACGACCACTCATCAATAAGCTAATCTCCCATCTTATTTCTGTTATGTTTCTTAGATAGATGTGTCGATCTATCCATAAAGACATCGTGGTACAAGGTTATTAAGTATATTTTTCGTGTGTGCATGTTAAATATTAATGATCAAATGAAAGTAACGACTCCAGTTAACAAAGAAAGTTAATGACCGGAATTTATTTTCATACATACTTTCGGTTTATATTGAAACATCGCTCGATTTTGTTTTTCATACCCTTTCAAAGTAAACGGAGGTGGCTGTATTCATTTATTTATGCGGAAATCAAGCAGATTTATGAATTAAGTTGTGTAGGCCTAAGGGAACCAATATATTCAGGATAAATCTAAAGAGGTTTGTGTTTTTAGTATGACAAGTTAAGACGATTGGTATGCTAACGCAATTTTATATTTTCATGATATATAACCTTAGAACTTGTTAAAAATTAGTGAATAGCTGTTAAGATATATATAGTTGCAATTTGGTACAGTATGTCACTACTCTAGTACTAGTACAACGCGTTAACACTTAGTCAGTTAGTTAGTATTAGTTGTAAAGTAGTAATAATACCGATAGACTCGTTTTAAATATTAGTGTGTGTATATATATATATATAGTAATAAAGACTTCATATTTACTCCAATTTTAATTTACTGTTTAGAATATATTAAGTCGTCAAGAAATTAATGTCGCGTTTTGGAACACCCAAAAAAACGTACATCACGTATGATAGTTAAATGAACCGCTTAAATGTCACGTTAGTGTAGCCTGTATAATGTGTAAAGTTTAGTATACTCTAATCCCTTTTAGTGATGGCACATGAGGAGACATACCTTTGGCATGTAATGCTGTTTGAATACAAGAAGGGAAACAACTCCTCTGTAGCCACAAAGAATATCAAAGAAGTTTATGGAAATGTTTTGAACTTTCGTAAGTATCAACGATGGTTGAGCAAATTTCATTTAGGTGAATTTAGCCTTAAAAACTGTGATGGCAGGGGTTGACATGTTGGAATTCATATTGATGATCTGAAGATGCTTGTTGAGTCTAACCCAAGGCAACACACTCATGAAATGGCCCTTAAATTGCATGTCTCTTGTGAAACAATACGTAAATATGTAAAGAATATGGGAAAGCTCCATAAAGAAGACGTTTGGGTAACTCATGAACTCTTCGACGATCATCGTATCCAACGTGTGAATGTTGCTTTGCCTCTTCTGCCTCGTAATTACAAGCAAACCATTTTTGGACAGAATTGTCACTGGTGATGAAAAATGGATTCTCTATGTGAATATTAAAGGCCAAAAACAATGGCTCAGTCCTAGACCAAAAACCTGGACTCCATCCGCAGAAAGTGATGCTTTACATTTGGTGGGACATCAAAGGAGTAACTCATTTCAAACTCCTCAATCCACAATGAACTGTCAATGCAGAAATCTATAGTCAGCAACTGGAATGCTTAAATCAAGCCCTTCATCAGAAATGCCCTTCAATCGGAAAGGTGTTCTTCTCCATGACAGTGCATGTCCACATGTGGCACGTTTGACGCAACACAAAATCATGGAGTTGGATTGGGAAGTTCTCCCCCACCACCATATTCTCCAGATATGGCACCATCAGATTACCATGTATTTTGTTTGATGTAACACCATCTTAATGGGAAACGTAT